TAAATATTTGACTAATAATCACCTGATTTTGAAGAGCAAAGTTCTGTTCTATGCTACAGTGCCCCCATAGCCAGTTATTGATGGTGGCACCAAGGCCAGATTTTAAAAGCTTGGCCAAATTCCTTCAATTCCAAATAAATTGGTGGTAATACAAATACTTGGAGGATCATAAAAACATCTCCTTCATAGGCAAGTTCTCCATGGATCGCATACTGCTCAGCTCACTAAATCCCTGCTACGTCTTGTAGACAACGTTAGAGGGATCTGAGAACTGAGGAACCAGACTGAGCGTTTCCTCTGCCATAACTGGGGCTATCCAAGGGGCTGCTCGGAAGCCCACGGAGGTTAATGCAAGGACTCTTATTGTCATTAATGGATCTCTAGTTCTGTTCTCCCAGCAGGTACTTCCTCAAGTTATTCCATGCCAGTTTGCTGTCACATAAAAAGGGGATTACAATACAGATGTTTATAAAGTAAAAATTCTGGTTTCTGCATTTGACCAGCTTACCAGAAGCATTTCTGGGCCAAGCATTTGACTGCCCCAATATTTAGTGTACTTGCATCGTTTCATACACTAAATGGATTATTCAGGATTGTAAACTGTCCTGCCAAATAAAAAACGTTAGATGTCAACCTAGCACTTCATCAAATTCCATATTAACTAGTAAAGCTATTTTTCTAACTATTCTAATTATTTTATTTTTTGCATACTAAGTATTGCTTATACTCCACTTCAATTACTGGCAAAGCAGAGCAATCTTGTTTGACACTTTTAGAATAGCTGTTTATTTCTAGAGGCCAAATCCTGTGTTCCAGACAAAGTCAAAGCTCCTACTGAAATTAAAAGAGGTTTTCCCTGAATGAAGGCTAAAAACTATGGGATTTGGCCATTGTCTCAGAGGAGATAGACCCCGTCTCAGCACTGTGGCTGTTTGTTAGCAGGGTTCCTACGTGGTTATTGCCTGGCAGCCCTATCTTGTAACAATACACAGAGCTCATTATCAGCTGCACTGCTCCAAAAGGCTCATCTGCATCACAAAAGGCAACAGCTGCTGTGCATGGAGGTGCCATCTCGCTGATAACCAGGAATAGCAAAAGTTTGCATACTCATTTCTTCAGAGCCGCTGTTGTTCCAGAGAAAGTTCCCAACTCCTCATAGGGATGTTTCCTCCTCAACAAGCAAAGGCCAGTGCTGGCACCTGGGCCGCAGCGCTTCGTGCACCCCGCACCCTGCCTCGCTGTGATGCATCCACCACAAACACACCCAACCTGCTTTTACATCAAAACACACATGCACAAAATGAAAATGGGAGAACATGCCCCAGGTAGCACATTTACATTGTCCACTTGCATCACCTGCTGATTGAACTGTGTATTTCATGACTTCAGGCATCTACTTCTACTCACATCGTTCCCCACATGCAGGGCTTTAATTGAGCTGCACAGTTTATGATGGTGATAACTGTGCTGCATAACGACTCCCCTGCCACGTTTCCACATGCTGCATCCACCACACTGCATTCACGATTAGAAGCTCTCCGGGGTGAAGAGTACCTTAGCAGGTCAGTTGTATTCTTCACTTCTTAAATTTCTGTATAATCTTCCTACTTTTGTAATACCTGAATGGTTCAAAGTCTGTACTGGGGTTAAGCAAAAAAAAATATATATATATATATATAAGTGCCTAAGGGTAGCCAGAACAATTGCATTAAACTGCTGATGAAAGCCCAGGGAACCCATGGTTTTTGTTCTTCAGGACACAAGTTACCCTGGAAGGGTAAGGGCTGCTACTCCCACGCAGAGGAAAATTTGCCTGACCTTAAGGCACTGCTTTAATGGGTGCAGAGGCTCTTTGGTTATCATTAAGTGCCAGAAGCCTTTTTAAAAATGTCCTAGGAGCTGCAGAGAAAAAGCAGCATTGATAAGTAACCATGAGAACATGCTGTCCTGAGGTGCACCGAGTTAAGAGCTCAGCTATCAGGCCATGCCTGCATGCAGAAAGAGGGCAACTAGAGCCAGGACTGGTTTTGAATGTGTTTAGCTGTTCCTCTCTAAGCCCATAGGCCAAAAGAGTGATTGTTGTTAATTGCTAAACAGCTACTCTCTGAAGTTACTAAAGATGCCATCTGTAATATGTATCCACATTTAAAGTTAAAACAAGTATTTATGCAAACTTGCTTGGAAAAAAAAAAGCAATCCATAGCGTTATTACATGCTCCTGCCTATCTTGTACATACATTCTCCTGTTGCTTACGTATAGAGGCCACAGTAAGAGCTAGTGTTTAAAAACTACTAAAACATTTGTCCAGAATGCAATATCTAAGCAGCTTATCATCATTAACTATAAACTTCACAGAAGAGCGTAATGCTTTAAAAGATGGAGCACAGGAAAAATACATCCATGAGGAATTCTAATCTAAATTGTGGCATCAGAGCTAACTAATGGCACTTACTTGGTGTCTTAAGGAAGCCAGTCAGCAGAAAGAGCACCTCATGGGAGAGGGTAAATGAATCAGTATCAGCACTAACGTAGCTATGTAAATTCCTTTCCAAGATAGAATTCTGTTTGCTAGATTTGTAGAAGAAAGCCTCTGTATAAATAAACGAGCATGAAACCATAGAAATGTAGAGCTGTAAACGTCTCGGGAGATTATCTGACCCGCTGCCGTACGCTGAGACAAGATCAGGTGCACCCAGACCTGACAGATGTTGGTCTAATCTGTTCTTAAAAACCTTCATGATTCCATAGCTTCCCTAAGCAAAATGCTTCAACACTTCATAATTAGGAATTTACTGCAGTAGCCAAACACTTCTTGCCACTCCATTAGAAATACAGGACAACAGATCACTGTTTTATTACAACGCTTGACATTTTTAAGGCTTCCTTGTTCTCTCAAATGTCTTTCTGGAGAAAACGTTTCTTTTAAGCTACTCACTCTGCTCATATTTTCTAAGTTTTTTCTTTTTTTTTTCCCTTTTTGTTCTTGCATGTCTTCTCTGGACTCCACATTTTTCTTGAAACATGGCACTGAAAGCCGAATTACACCCTTACAAACCCGAGGCACAGCACTCCTAACGCTCCCCATACTGCACAACAGGGCAATTATTCTACTAAGGAAACACGTTTGATTGTTTTGGTTTGATCCACAATACTTCAAATTTAATTTGGCTTTTTACAAAGCCAGTAACTGCCCAGCTGGGGTTGGACTGGTAACTACTGGAAACCTTATTTTAATTCTACTATCACTAGCACCTCATTTGAAAGGGCTGTAAGGCCAAAGCGTGTAAATATAACTGTGCCACAGAAAATGTCCCATCTTAAGTAAGCTATCGATCATCATAATAAACTTTTATTTAAAAAGATGCTGCTATATTTTTCCATCCTTCCTCTTGAAGGATCTCAATGGCCTGAGGATCTCCTAGTCCACAGGAGTGGCACACAGCTAATAGCAAGGGCTCCAGTGTGAAACTGACTCCCTGAATTTTCAAAATACATTGCAGAGAATCTATTTTTCCCCTCATAAACCAAAAAAATAAAATAAACCAATGGTCTCTGCAATATGATTCAACAACTGAGCCTTTGTGTTCAAAATGTTTTTTCCCCAGAAGGTCTGAATTTATGAAATGCTGCAGTGTATACATTGCATGAAAATCAAGTAATAGAAAATTCAGTGTTCACCTTTCAGTGCTCAACTTGGTAGTAAAATGATTCAGTTTTGCCATCAATTACATTAGGGAGAAAAAGAGAAAATAGAAAAAAATCAGATTAACATGTTCTGAAATAAATGGTATTTCAGATGAATTTAATCTTACTTTTGAAAGTTGCAAAATCATCACACACATCTAACTGGAGAACTCTGCAGGACACCTGGGAAGCTCATTCCATGATTTGCATCATCATTTAAGCGTATTAGGCTTTTCCTATAACTCAGCTGGGTTTGTGGGGCAAGACAGAAATTCAGGCTGGGGCCTGATAATCCACAGATTCTTAAACACGCTCAAATATTTAACTAAGTCTTCCCAAATTCCGTGTTCTCATTAATGCTTGCCAAGGAATGCTTTCCTAAATTACTGCAGTAATACTGACAACAGACAAGGTAAGTAGGAATAACATTTTCTATCTAAATAATAACCAGCATCACTTTCTTTTTATGATGCCTCATTAAGAAAAAAAAAAAAATAAAACCATCCTGAATATCTTCATTTCTCTCTAATGAACTTCATTAGTATTATTTCACTTAAAACTAAAAACTTGGAAGTTTACTTCAAGTTTATGGTCTCATAGCAAGCTCACTCACACAACTGTATGTGCCCAGAAAAGGATTAAAGCTCTGCATAAACAGAAAGATTTTTTTTTTAAGTGACAAATTCACTTAATGACAGGTCTTTGAATTAATGCATTATTCATTCTGTTACCTCACAGCAGAACAAAATTGTACCCATAAATATATAATGTTGTACACCATTTTTAATGTATTTTACACTTGTAAAATAATTGTCTGCCTTTCACCACCATTTTTTTTTTTTTTTTTTTTTTGGTAGATGAATCCCCCCCCCAAAAAAAAATGCAGTTTACAACATAGGGAATGCAGACACTGAAAGAATATCCACAACTGGCCCAGATAAACCTATTATTTCCCACCTCCAATTCTCAAAATGCTTGAAACGCTTTCTAGCCTCTGGAAGAGTTTTAAGGGTATCTTTCAACATCTGAACTGTCAGTTTACTCCTCCTGAACTGCCAGTTGAAATTGTCCCATTTCAACAAATCAAGTCTGACTATCAGCATGCTTATCTTGATAATAGTTACTGTCACACAGTATCTAAATTAAAATAATAAAAATACATTAAATTCCATACTTGATTTCGGGGTGCAGCAAAGGCTTCCTAGGCCAAGATGAGCTCCATGCGCTGAGGGACTGTGGCACCAGCCTCTCCTACAGGACACGGTCCCACAAAGTCCAACGGAAGGAATAGTGGCCATCCTGGAGAAGAAGAGCCATGAACCAGGTCCATGGTGACCTAGAAAGAGCAAAAAGAAGGCAAGGCTGGAGACAGGCATGGAGACCAGACTACTGCACAGACCTAAGGCCACCTGTAAGAGCTGAAACCAGCCTGGAGACCAGCCACCATCTCAGGTAAATCTTATACAGGGGAAACAGGGGATTTCACAGTTCCCTGCCAATTTTGCTCAGCTGCCAAAATCCCCCCAAAATGGCCACCTGAGCAGCAATTAACCAAGCCCCCATCTACGCCAAAGCCTTCTTTAATTGCCTTCCCTGGCCACGGGTAATGAGCTGAGCGGCAGCAGCTGCAGAGAGGGTGATGCTGCAAAAAGGCAAAGTTGCATTAAAAAAATGCAGCAAATCATAAAACACCACCTCACACCACAATATTTTGAAATATTCATCTTTTAAAATATGTTGGAAGTTTTGGTAGTTATTTATTCAGATTGCAATGGATTTGCTGCCTCTGAAAATCATCAGCATTAACTGCTGCAAAAAAAGAAAGTTTTTTTTTTTTAAATTAAAGGCCATCCTGGTAGCCAAGCAATATTTTTTCTCTATTCCAGGAGGAAGATTCCTAGCTATTAACCAGGATAAATGCTAACTTCCTCACTCCCAGGATGTTGGCCTAGGGGCTGGCAGGGCGCAGGGAGACCCTTTTAGGGGGTGAATTATTCACTGAAACCGTCAGCTCCGCGCAGAGCTTCCGCCCTCCGCATAGGGGCACAGAAATGGGCTGGAAATGGCGCTTTGGGGGTGAAAACGACGCGTCTCCCCCACAAAAGGGCGGGCGGTTCCCGCCAGAGGGCGCCGCGGCGCCGCCGCTGAGGCGGCCCCAGGCCCGGCGTGGGCCCGGCCTCGACGCCCCGTCACCTCCCGGCGCTTCCTTTTTCACCTGTTCCCCTCCTTTTTTACCTGTTTTTTACCCTCATTTTTTTAATCCCCTGTCAGACCGCGGCCCCGGTGAGGTGGGTGGTGGCAGCTCTGCTCCATGGAAGGGCTGGTGTTCGCCCGGGCCAAGGCTGCCCTTCCTGGGAGGTGTTGCCTTCCTTGGCAATTTTTAGTGCTCCCCCCCCCCCCTTTAAAAAAAAAAAAAAAAAAAAAAAAAAAGTGTTTTTAATTACCGAAAATGTGTGGGAATGTATTTAGAGAGTGGTGAGAGATAGGAATAAGATGAAAGGGGTGGTATTGGGAAATACTGGGAAATATTGGGCTGTAGGTTACTCTTTTGTCTTAGTTCTACTTGTTTTATATCAGGAGTAATTAAATTTATGAATGTTGAGCATGGCTGTTAAGCTGTGCTAGCTGATATTTAAAGAACTTCCAAATGTGTGTATTTGACATCTGTTTTCTATTATCTATTAAATAACTATTTTTTGTCATTTCTCAAGCTTGAAGATGCTGTAACCGGTGGATGCTGGTGGCAGTTTGGCTGTGGAGACCTGGAAAAATTGAGGCAAGTTTCCAAAGTTCTAGGCAAGATGTTTTCCTTCCTCATCTGCCCCACGGAATCGCTCTGAATGCGGTGGATTTCATATTAAAATCATTAACTGTTTCCTCTCTCTGTTCTGATTTGAGCTCAAGCTCTAGTAATCTTTGAGCTGGAAAAAAGAGTTAATGAACTATTTCATCATGTTAAGATGTAGTTTATTCAGTGAAGGGTGTATTCTGATAGAGAAGACCCAGTTCAGGTATGAAAATAGCTGAGGATCAAAACAACCCTGAAAAAAACCACTGTTGTCCTTTGCATTGCCAGCAATGGCAGGAGACGTTTGACTTTTGCAACAGGAGATTTAGCTGAAGGCATCCAGACATTCAATTCACCAACAAAATTGGTGTCTTTGGTGGTAGGGCTCTTACTGGAACAGAGTATTTTGCTGCTCTGGTAGCTGGGACTTTGAGAAAATTAGCAGTTACTGGAAGAGCAGCAAAACAATCTCCAGAGCTCGCAACACAAGTCACTGTGCTCCATGAATGCCAAGGAAAAGAGCACAGGAATATCCACGTGCTTCAGCAGTGCTTGGTGGCAGGAGGCCAATGCTCATATCCTCTGGCATCTGGGAAGTGCAAGTGACCTGCCTGATCCACAGCACTTTTTCAGCTGGTTTTCTGGAATATTTAAATACCATGTTCAATCTTATTTTATTTTTATGTCTAATGTCTTTCATGCATTTTGAGATGGACGTTTTACAATGAAGAATGTACCAATTTAGGTGCCATGTTTTCTAAAGCCTAAAGATATATGTTGCAGTATTTTGCATGGCTGAAAGTTCTTGCCTAAAACTTCCCAATAGCAGAAGTGCTTTGGTATATTCCTCTTCTTAGTGGGTCATACAGCCACGTCCAAGCACAAGTACCAAAATGAGAAAGCTGACTTGAAATGTACTGCACTGCTTTTTCCCTGCCCTTTCAAAATTATCTGTAAAGATGACTACAAAATTTAATAACTTCCCTGGTATAAGCTGAATATATCTAATGGGCGAGGATGAATGCATGTTTTTGTTTGGTTGGTTGTTGGGTTTTTTTTAATCATTGTTAAGGTCCAATGATGACAGGTTTTTTGAGAGGCAGCCAGTTTCTGCAGGAAGCTTCTTCCAGCATTTAGTGCTGCAGATAACTGAGGCTTCATAAAAACAAAAAAATCACACATTTCTAGATGACTAGCAGAGTGAGTCCTGACTTTACTGTGAGTGATACTCAATGAAAACATCTTTGTGAAATTTTATTAAAGATATGGAGGTTGCTGGCAGACAGCTCCAAAGTAGCACATTGTGGAAGGAGTAGATTACTAGCCCTTCTGGCTTTAAATGCCATACAGGGACTTAGGCAATAGAACTTTTTTTCTTTAAAAACAAAAACAAAAGACAATACATTTGCTCTGGCTTGTAGCTAGTTGTTCCCAGACCCTTCTACATAAGGCATTACCAGCTTTGGGGGGATGTAGAATACCATAAGAGTGTACAAGAAAGCAGCAGTTAATTTCTGTGGTCAGGAGGAAGTCTCAAGGAATAATCATAGATAATTAGATATTTTTGTTTGAAAATTCTTATGTTTTATAGCTGTTAGCCTTCTAAGTAAATATTATAATTTCATATAGTATGAATATGTTTCATCAAGAATGCAAAATATCTAGAATAATTATAATTGGCTACAAAAATATTTCTAAAGGTTATAAAAGAAACATAAAAGCATATTTCAGAATTTAAGCCGTTCTTTACTATTACATCTGCTTTTGGGATTTTTCATTCAGGGGATGGAAATATCCTACATTTGCCTTCTTCAAGTCTCTTCCTCTTCCCTCTGAGCATTAAATACTGGTAACTGACGCTCTATTGAATCACTGAGGGGCAGAGTGGATTCAAATAGACTTTTGATCTTTTCTGGAATCTGAGTTTCTAGTGACCTTTCCATAATATTCTCTTACCATTAATTACACAGAGGTCAACATTATATTTGTGTTTTATAAACTTGACCAGAACTTTCAGAATCTGGGCTAATAACATTAAAGAAAATATTTTTACTTTATTGAAAAACTGTTGCACATGAGAATCAGTTTTGATGTTCAGTGAAAATAAATTACTTGATTTATTTTACCCTGTAGCAGATTTGTGGAGTCTCACTGTAACTGTCAGTTGAACACAACCTCAAACAAAAATACTGAAGTGATAAAAATCTGGAGTGTTGCATCTTTGTCAAGAGCAAATGAACGAGATGCACTACGAAGGATTTTTTTTCCTTTCAGGAAGTCTAGCTTCTTTTTAGTAAGCAATAAATATATGCCTCTCTTGATTAATGTCTTATTCACACTGGCTATGCTTATGTCTTTGACTTGGCAGGTTCATTTATGAGGTTGGAAGTAACTGTGAAACGGAGCATCCGTCCAGATGCCGAGGTCTTTTGACGGAGGATATTGAGTGCCGGTAAACCGCTTTGCGAATTTGCATGGGGTAAAAAGGAAGGCAGAAATAAACTTCTGAAACTGAATGCCAGGCCAAGGATGAGGGCTCCTCAGCTGTATACACATGCTTTCAATATCTCTCCAGTAGAGGAGAGGAGATTGTGTATAAATGGAACACTATGGATTTGGCATCTCCTTGAGAATGTGTGGAGAATGCGTGGGAGTTTTGGAGCGTTGTCACAGGCCTGATTTCCATTGTCTGCTTTCTGTTTGCTGCACTACCGTAAGTTTAAAGTCTTAAGCAGTCTGCAGATTCAAACATGAGTAATCTTGCCTGAAGCCTTTTTCAAAAGCTGCCTTTTTTTAGTTTATCTTGGATATGTTTCTCTGTCTGCATAATACAGATATAATATGCCAGAGAAGCATGTTGTTCGTGTTTGGAACAATATTTGGTGGTTGACAAATGAGCTTGATGTACTATTCTGTTGTACTGACTTGACACTAATCTCTGCCACTTAGAGCAAATGAGAATAAATCACCTCTTCCTTCTTATCTCCGGCGCCCGTAGATGTGTGTGCACACATAGGCACGCTGGCGGCGGGGACTGGCCCCGTGTTTATTTGACCCACATGCCGTGTCACCACTGCTCTTGTGCTCGCCACTGCCCGTGAAACTGGGCAAGAGAAAGGGCACTTTGGTGGTGCTAAATCAGTTTCTCTTTGGTGCATGAGCACTGGGATAAAATTTTGAATATGTGGGTAGAAAATGGCAGAAGAAAAGCAAAAATGCGCTCATCAGGTGAAAATGTCTGAAGCAAAATGGGATTGACTCCAAATTTTGTCCACACAGGGTAGATATAGGGCTAAGGAAGCCAAGCAAAATAAAACCATTCTTACTAAGCTGTTCATCTTCTGAAATATTAGTTGAGAGGGAACTTTACATTAAAACTGCCATGTTAGTATGGAATTCATCAAGATGTATCTAATGGACTTGCATTTGGATTTGCTTTCTAGACCACATTGTGAAACTGAATAACATTTTTCCAATTTGGAGGCATAAGTATAGTCGTTGACTCTTTTTAGGTGCTCTGATCCTTCCTAGCCCCTCTATGCTAAATAACAGTGTCATTACAGTATTTTGAAGGCTGGTAGTTACAGAACATAAATATAAAATGCTTATGGCATGGTTCCGATCTCTGGAAAATGGCATTTTAGTACAGGCCACAAAAAAGAGCACGCAGAAGCAGTGATGAGGGGGTGCTTTGAGCTGTTCCTTAAGCTGGAGAAAGACATGATGAGCTAGAGTGATATTGATGTCTCCTTCAATGTCACAGCTACAGCAGGTCTCTAGGGGTTAGACTTTTAGGTCTTTATTTAGATCTCAAAAAATGTAGTTGTTAAACCTTCTTTTGTTTGCACCATTTTAAAATTACTTCTTCAATTTGTGCCAGTCAAATTTATGTCACCTGTCGCAATGGAAGAGTAGACCAAGCGCTCTCCCTGGGCTTCCTGCTGGGTTGGCTAGCTGGGGACCTGACAGATCTTACAGGCTGCTATTTAACAAATCAACTACCAATTCAGGTAATCGGTCAGTATTTCTACATCTTGATTTAGCCTTCTCCAACTTTAGAGAGGTTTTTAAGATTAACAAGGAAATATTAATTCAAAGCTCTTTGTCTCAGGATAATTAGAAAAGTATATTTTTCTTCTGTAAGAGGAGAGTTTCTCTGAAAGAGCCAAGTTGTCAGTGATGCATTAATTGTCTGTAATCTTATCTGCCTTTTAATTTTTTTTGTTTTTTTTTTTTTTTTAACTTTTTAATTAAAAGAGAAAGATAAATTTATCAGCCACCAGCACAAGATTTCACAGGTTAGAGAGGGGACCAAGATTGGTTAGAGTTATCTCACTTAGTTAAAGATTTAATTTGTGGTTCTATCTGTTCCATCCCCCTCAATGTGAAATGGAGAAAAAAGACAGCTTTGTCTAACTGAGGCAAGAGACACTGAGTAAGATCAGTAGCATTTTAAGTGTTAGGTACCTAAGTGGAGCAGACCTGAGCTCCTGGACAAAAACAGATTTATCAGTCTGCCGAGGCAAGGATTTGTGCCATGTGTCTTTGGGAATTACAAAACTCTGCAGGTTTGTCAACAAGCTTTACATTGCATTACTCTGCAGCAGTTGAACTGGTTTGGGATCCTAAGCACTTCTTTGCTGCTTTTTTTTTCCTTTTTTTTTTTTTTTTTTTTTTTTGGCAATAGTTTGTTAATTGTCATTCACATTTTGATTATGAAGCGAAATTTCCATGCAGTTAGGTTCAGTAATGACTGTGGACTTCTTGTATCCCAAACAAGCAAATGTATCTTCTTTTGTCTTTCAGATTGTCAGTGCCATCTTTTATGTTAATATGGATATAATTATGATTTCACAGTTTGACTACTACAAGCTCAAGAATCAAAAGATGCCAAGATGTAAGGTTTCAAAATTATTAAAATGTTCTTCCTAATGTGAAATACATTTCACCTTGACGTTTACCAGAGTTTTTTAATAAATTTTTTGGTGGAATTTAAAAAACTGAGTTTATAAATTCCCTGTGAAGTTGTTAGGATGATAACTTCTATTTTTTTTAGACTGTTACGAAAATTTACCACACACATGAGGCTGCAGTCTGACCAAAAAAAAAAAAACCCACCCACGTAATATGGAAAAAACGCCCACATAATATGGATATATGGATTTCCATATAGTACTTTCAGTTTATATGGATATAGAAGATGTAGTAGTTTTGTGGAATCCGGATGTGTATTTTAACTTCTTTCATGGTTTTACTATCTGCCTTTCCATCTAAATATATGTTCAAATTGACAGCAAACATTATTTCTCTGTGTGGTTCAGTTAGGTTCCTCAATGTTGATTGAAAACGGACTTTATTTGCTTATAGCATAAAATGTCTTGACATGTTCATGTATTCTCTTTCAGTACATATAGTTAAAAACGTATTCAAGGGGAATAAAATTACTTGATTTGCTTTAGAAAATCCTGGCAGTAGTTGTAGTATTTGGCCTTCCAAATAGTCTACTCTTCTGTTTGCTTTGTATCAAATCACAAACATTAATTCATCAATCTTAGCAATTATTGAAGAAAATCTGGTGGTGCAGTAGAGGTAGCAATAAGCTGAAGTAAAACAGATGCAGGTCCAGCGGACTAAATAGGAATAAAGCAGATTAATTCAATATGGAGCTGATAATAGAACAGGAGATAGGTCAGAGCTGAACTTGCTGCTCCCTACTCTTGAAAACAAACACAGGCTTTTGTATGTTGGAACGGTGCTTATTTGAGCTCAGCCTTGCCTATCTGGAAAAAGAAGAATTATGTGATTAATGCAAGAAAGTAGGGCTTTTGCATCTAGTTTTCGAGCAGTTGCCGTGGGCAAGCTGGTCAGGTGTGCATCTCAAAACACAGCCTGTGAAACAGGAATTCCTGTTGGACTACAGGACTTGTTGGAGCAGCCCACTAATGCCACACAGCCGTTTGTTGCACTCGCGGTGTCTGCGAGTCCTTAGCAATGATTTATAAACACAGAATTCGTCATCTATCACTTTCAAGTTGCCTCGCAAGTGTCTGTAAAGATTTGTTAGGTGTAATATCTCTTTTTGAATACATGAGTCTCTCAGACTCTAAAGATAAGACTCGAAATCTGGCTAACCATGGACTTTGACACTGGTCCAGTAGAACACTTGAGCTAACAGAAGTGTCACTGGCCTAAATATATAATCCAGATTTTGAATGTCCTTGCTTTTGTAGGATTTAATCAAGATATATTGAAGGAAACAATTGTATTCAATCCCAAATTGCAGCTTTCTGTATATTGTCTGCATTTTAATAATAAATTAACATAAGATATGGATTAAATATGAAAATTGTCTCTCTCGGTGCAAAGCCAAGGTAAGAAGTTTCCATCCTGTTCCTGCACCGTTACCTTCGGTTGCTGCAGCAAGACTCAATACAACTGTGATAGTGATAGAGTGGGCACAGGAAATGAGGAAGAGGAAGGCTCCTGAAACTTACATTGTTACCAAGAAAAGGATGCAGGAAATTGTACCTTCTTATTTACATATTTATATTATAGACAAAAAGTAAACTAAATCAACATCAGATGTTACTTTTCAGCTAATTTGTTTGTGTTTCCTTTTAGACAGCACAACCCTAAAGAATTTCTGTATAAGCTGGAGCTTGGTGTGTGTAACACTGCATGTTATTTTACCCTGTTGGCTGTTATTAAGAAACCAAGACCAGAGCATAGGCTTAGAAGCAAGAAATGTAAGTTCTTACCTGCTTCTTTCTGTTCCTTAAAAAAAAAAAAAAAAATCCTCAAAAAATGTATTGAAAGGATTGTGCAGTGGGAGCTTAAAGAAATTCATATGACTTTAAAATGCCTTAGAAATTATGAATGTGGGAGTACATGGGAGTTTTCTGTGTGTGTTTACATCCCCAAACAAAAAAGTTATAACTGCCTTCTTTTAGGCAACTTCCTCTGTTTTGGGCTTACTTTGTCCCTTGGGTTATTAGGATATGCTGCTCTGTGAAATAACACACACAGATATGTTGTCTTTTTGCTGTGTTAGATATTTTCTGCTTCTGTTTAGATACAAAACAGTCACAAGTGAAATCAATAATAGTGGAAAATTACAATTGTACCCGCTGCTGCTGTCATTTTTAGAGGAAAGTTCACAGGATATTCTAGCAATTTTCTGGCCTTCATACTAATGCCAGTAAAATAATTGTAATCCAACAGCATTGCCCAGCAGGGAAGCAGCTTATTTTCAAAACACAGCAAGAGTGAGAAAACTTACAACTCTCTTGAATTGTGAAAAATGAGCATTTTGCTTTCTCCAGACAAGATGATTCGTTTTTTGTGGCCCTAGCTGCAATTTGTAGTTTGAGCTTGAATTGAAAAGTGTCCTTCTCTCCCCAGCCCCCTCTTTTTTTTTTTTTTTTTTTTTTTTTTTTTTCTTCTTGCTGTAGGACTGAATTGGTTTTAATAACATATCCTAAAGGTAGGACCAGTTTTGAGCTAAATCATGGCAATAATGCATTAGTATATATCATTGCAAAGTAAAGATTAACCCTTTCTAGTCCTCTTTAGTCATTTGGTGAGCCCTGAATGGCTTTGAAAGGAAGAATTTCTTTTTGTCTGGAAAAGTAGCCAGTGGACTCTCAATAAAACCTTTGATATGCCCCAAAATATTCCTGTGAAACTACATTAACTCTTATTTTTCAGAGAAGTCTTGATATGATGGAAATGTCAGGCTTGGTTTGTGGATATATCTCATGTGTGTTTTACTTGGGAAATAGATTTCCTCAGCTGTACAAAAATGTAAGTGAGCTTTTGCCTAAGAACATGTGTTTATTGTAGGAAAGACACTGTTGCTTGAGGTGTTGGATTCTCCGCAGCAGCAAGTACTCAAAGTTGAAAAATGTGAAAGAAAAAGGAGTGTCTTTAATGACCTGGGTCAGAGAGGAGGAAATGAAGTATTTACAGTTGGATGTATCAGATGTGAGCAGAAACATGCTTGGCATGATTGTTTCATAAACAAGTGGTATCTTCCATTTTTTTTCTCCTGACTGTTCTACCTTAAGGAATCAAGTACAGGTTCAAAAGATAAAAATAGAGGAAAATGAATTTAAAGCATTACAAGCCCTTCCACAGCAGTGTCATTATTATTTTGTGTTTGGGTGTGTTTTGCTTTGTTTTTTATAGCCTCTTTACTGTCAATACATTTAAAATACACCACAAAGGTCATTGTCAGATGTAGACAGGCATCCTGGTTTACTATAGAAAGGCTTCACGTAGTTCATTTCCAGGCCACTTCCAATTCTCTCCTTGTCCTTTGCATCCAAGCTGGAATATTACTTTACGTTCATACTACTGTATTTCCAAAGGGCTCAAGTGAACCGGCTGATATGGCAACAGATTTCTTAAGAAGTAAATATTATTATTTGGAAGCAGATTATCCTTGCTGTTTTGCAGCTTTACAGCTGTACAGCCTGAGCTGCTGCCAAGAATTGTAACAAGTTCTATAGTTTTACGTGATACATGATCAAATATTAAGCCCAGAGAATCCAGAGCCCACAGGGAGGTGGAGAGAATGAATGGGCATCTCTGGACGTATTATAATACAAAACTCCAAAATTATCTGTAATTGCCTCTATGGTGATACATGTTATAACATTTCTTCTATAAAAACTGGTTTTTATTTAGTTCCAAAGAAGATCCACAGGAGGCAGCTCTTACGTGCTGTTTGCAGTAGCTATGATGGGAAATGGTACTGTGGACTGAGCCTCCTTTGGAAGATGCCTCCTGCTCATCTTTCCAGGCCCTCTACTTTTTGCACCATCTTCCATGGTTCATTGGGAGCTTTGGAGTTTTGTTTCTAGACATTTTTGTATCCTTTTCGTAGAGATGACGAGTTTTTTGGGGTTGGTCTGCTAATATGATCAGAAATTAGAGGTTCTGTATAATTCTGACCTGATTATAAAGCTTAACCTCTTTCTGAAGAGATAATTTATACGCTTTTTTTAATGATAAGGTTACTTCATACAAATGTTCATAGAAAGTATGTACAAGTTAATCTATCTTTTGTAGCCATACAGGGTCTACTGAAAGAGGAGACAGAAGAAGTTTAACATGTTTTTCATGCTTGCTGTCTGATAAATAGGAACAAGAATGCTAGTTGTTTTCAAATGCAAGTTTGCAACAATAACTTTGAGAATTTGGCTAAACTGGAAATGTTACTGGAAGGCAGCATCAAGGTCAGAGACAAACAAGGGTGTTTTAACAAACATAGTTTCCAAACCCAGCATTTAGCAACCAAGCATGGGAGTTAGCCTTAGCTGTGCAATTGGAGGCAAGGTCAGACGCATCCGGACACTGAGTATCTCTGAAAAGCAGGAGCTGGGCTCACTGAATCTGTGCAAGTTATATAGGTTAGGACACAAGTTTCTTGTGTATGCTAGTCCTGAATTTAGGCTTAGAACACTGTAATTTTTAAGTCTTATTTCTAACATATATTATGTGTTCACATATAATTTTTATATCTAACATGCACAATATGCCTCTAGTATACTAGTTATTATTATTCATGCTCTTTCTAAAATGAGCATTAGCATTTGTGATTAACAAAAAGCGAAATGTTTAGAACAGTGCCATACTTTCGCTTTATACCTTTTATGAATGGCAACGTGCTGTCAGCTGGCGTTACCATTCAATGCCTATAATAATCAGTCTTCCTGCTCTTTCCATATCGTTTTCTATGTTATACATGGAAAGCTAGAAATCTAACAATATTGAGACTCATAAAGAACACAGACGTTGGGCACATAGTTTCTATACTCACTTCATTTTTCTGTCTTTCTCTAAAACAAGAAGTCCAGGCAGGAGATAACAAAAACTGCGTTACACTCTTTATTTAGTGTCCACTTGTGCCACATAATCCTGAATTGCCACAAAATAGAACTTCGTGTGTTTTGGCAGACTGGTGGTGTCCTACTTAAACACTCTATGGAATATTAGATTATACTCCAACATATTTATAATAGGTTTCATAGAGAATTCCCAGCCATCTGCCCCTCTGACTAGTCTTCAGTAGAAGCCAGTACTTGAGTCTTCTAACTTGTATTTTCACTTAAAATTGTATTAACGGGAGAATTCCTCATCTTCTTGAAGTTAGAATTTCAGTTCTGTATCTCAAAACTTCTGTTTAGTTCCATTAACTCCAAGAAGGAAGCTGGATAGAATGAAGAGGGACTTCAGGACCGAAGCATATTGTGTCGATCCATATTAAAAGGAAGCTCATTTCCAGATTTACCTGAAACAATTCAGGAAGTCATGATCCCCAGGTATCAGTCCTGCCTTTCCGATTAAAGCAATTTCGTAGGCCATTCCGGCCGGGGCGGTGCTGGGGTGGCTTGCCCTGGCCTCTGGACGGCCTGCTAAATTACACTGTCATTCCGAATTGCCCACTGTGCTTTTTGCATCTCCAGCCATGGCAATTTAGGTTGGCACAAACTTCAGTGAAACGTTCCGAATTGTGGGAACGCAGCTCTTCACTGCCATGGTGAGACTGAGCTGCGGTTAGTGGCCCTTTTTTGAAAGAAATTGCAGTTTTTTCTTTGTGAGACAGTGCAGTTGCTTTCGCGTGAGCAGGCGGTATGGATTCATGGTTGCTGGCCCATGTGGCTGGTTTGGGCTCTTGGGTCTTTTGCTCCATAAACAAAGTGGTGACTCTTTTCTTCCTTCCCCCCCATTCCATCCCACCGCTCCCAACTGGAAACATAAAACTACCAGTATTTATTTACCAAAAAAAAAACCCCTAGAATCTGATCTTGATGACCTTTACAGTATATTATGTGCATGTTTGCAGATGCTTTCCTATGGTGTACTCCAAAAGGGAACTTTTACATTGGCCACAAACCTCCTCCTCTGAGCGAGCGCTGCCCCGCAGTCGCAGTGCCAGGGTGCACATGACATTCATTTCTTGGGTCTAGCTTGATTGGAGTCTGAATCCAATCTTGCTAATAGTCCTCCAGTTCAAATTATATTGCAAACAGATGCTTCCAAATCAGGTTGAGGAGATTATGGAAATCTGGTCAAGTATATAGTGCTAGCTGAAAATGTATGAAGTATTTGTAATCAAGAGAAAACAAAAGCAGACCTCCTGCTTTGAGAAGCCCTCAAGATATGGAAGTGAATATTTTCCAAAGAGAGCTTCGTTTCTGTCTCTTGCCAAGCAAAAAATCAAAATTCTAACAAAATGATACATCATGTTAGACCAGAAAATGGGGAGCAGGATTGCCTGCATTTTGAAACAGCAGAGAAATTAAACCCAAGGCTTCTCTTTTTGAAAGAGAAATATTTTAAAATTGATCATCTGTGTAACAATCAATTTCTTCTTTGAAAAGTACTTCAAGAAATCCAGGAGTCCCAGTGGTTCTTGGTGCCCGGTTGCACTGGGGCCATTTCAGCTTGGTTTAGCAGGAGAACATGGTTAGTTATCCTCTTGCTTTGGTGTCTGGAGTTGAAGTTATTGCCTGCACACCAAGGCAGTTAGCTCCCATAAATAACAGAAGTGTCCAGTTGTTTGTGAAGTATGAATGATGCCTTCTTCCCTTGTTCCGATTAAGAGGAGTTACATAATAATACATCTAAATTATAAATCGGGCTTGATTTTCAGTTTTAGTAACCATTTCTTTCCAAGGGCTGCTGTGCTGTTGAAGGTAGTTGGTGCTTCTTGAGCTTGACGCTTAACTGAGTCTGATAGTGGCCTTATTGGCGGCGTACTAAGTATGGATTTGTTTATTTTAGGATTCCAGGGTGGACATTACTAGAGTTTTGTTTAATGTGCATGATTAGTTAATGCTAATTTGCACTAAAAGGTGCTACATATTTTAAAATATTAAATTAGTTGATAACCATCCTACTCTCAAACTTCTAGTAGCAGCCAACATTAAGTTTCCCAGAGACTGAATTTTGTGGAAGTTTTTTCCAGGAAACTTTGTCCTTTTCTGTAAGTCTAATGATTTCTTTCACTCTGCTACCTTCCTTCCCTGTCACCACCAAAACCAAACAACTCTATATATTTAATTCGGACAAAGTTCTTTACCAAGATTTTTCTCTCTTTTTTTTTTTTTCTTTTTTTATTGACATCGGCCTGTTGTCAGGGATCTCTGTTCAAATCCTCTACGTGTTCTTCCTTTCATTAAGTGTAGCCAGGCAGTTACTAGATACACGACGTAAAGCAAGTACCAGGCTGCTGTACACAGGCTCTTATCTTGCACCTTTTGTGGTTTGCAGGGCAACCACTTGGAATCCATTATATATTTTTACAAAACATCATGCCTTTTAATTTAATTACACCGCAAAGAATTTAAGTCTGACCTGACAATTCAACAAGGAGCTTTTCCAACCAAAGATGCAACAACTCCTGCTCTGTCCTCCCATAAATAGCCACTTTCGCCTCAAAACCATTCCATTTTTTGAATTGCCATTAGATTGCCAGTAGATTTAACTGAGCAAATCCGATACACTAGTTTTGTGACTGTCATAAACTTGGCTCACAAGTGAATGTGAATCGTCTGGCATCTGCCTGTGAGCTGGGGCACCCGGTGACACCTCGGACTGTCCCGGGGCAGCGTGCGATTCCTGCAGACTGATCCATCGCCGTGTCCTTTCCCACCAAAGCTCCTGCTAAGGCTCCTGGAGCTGCAGCTGCGAGGAGGACTGGAACTGTCCTGCCTGTTGTCCTTTGCTTTCCCCGAGCATTGGTAGCTGTGTATGCTCTAAACTCGTTTGCTAAGCCTGAAGAAGAAGAGTTCCCCACGTTATGCCACAGAAGGACTTAAAAAAATGCTGACCTGCTGTCTCTGAAGGAAATCCTGTCTAGTCTCCAGTTGGAAGGGGCCTCAGAGGTGGGGTGCTGGAAAGCCTTGGGAAGGTGGGATAATTCCTGGGGCTCTGCCCAAGATGTAGAGAATTTCCTTTCTGTTCATCTAGGCCTCCCAGAAAGCTTCCCCCACTTTGTTTTTATAAATAATGATGTGCGTTAGCCCCAGACTCCTCACCACCCTTGCGGACAGCCAAGTTATTTTAGCTGGCCTGAAGTGTTCCCGGTAGAATCCTGCACGCCAGACTTCTTCCCAGAGCACCTCTATTTTATTTTTAAAATTGTATTTTTAATGTTACAGCAGTGGTGATCCAGGGGCGATCCCATCTACTGTGTTTCCCATCTACTTTCTGCATCAAAGTTTTAGTCTCTGTTGAAATACCAGGTGTTTTGTGTCAAGTTCAGTATAAAACTCCTCACCTGCCCAGCAGGAATTCTGCAGAGGGCCATGTTCTTATCCCTGCTCCCCTTTTTTTGAAGACTCTTTTTCTCCAAGTCAATAATTTTGTCAGAGTGCTGGAACCACTAGGAGAAAAGACAAGACTTGCTTGTTAGTTCCTTGTTCTGATATTAGCAGTGTTTCCAGTGATTTGTTCTACAGCAGAAGTAAATTACAGTGTCATGTCGAACTGCATGATTCTCAGCATTAACTACTGAGTCACAGTCTGCACGTCGGTGTTTGGAAGCAGCAGATTGCCCAGAATGTGGGAAGACTGAGGCTGGACTGGCACAGGGCAACACCTTTAGGGTCCCTTAGGAATCCCAGGTCCCTTGTTCCTGCTGTGCCCTTAACAAATTTCCAGCTTAGGACCCTCACAATCTCTGCAGTGCAATAGCTAAGGGCTAGGATATTTCCATATCTGAGTCATGTAACCAAGGAGATCTGAAGTTTCAGTTAGAATTTTTCTCTATTTGGTTTTACAAGTTAAATATTAAACCTTTTCTGCCAAAAAAGTGCTGAAAATGAGTGTTAGGTAGAATTTGGAAAAGGTTGCATACTAAAAGTTACATACACTCTCACACTTAGAATTAAAGCAATAGTTAATATGTAAAACACAGAACATGAATTAGATAAAACAATTTTTAAGCTTTCCTCCTCAGAAGGTAGGGTCCATAGTCTGTGCCAGAACAATGCACTGAATGGATGGTTGCTTTTATTACGTGCACCGTATTTAGTTTTCAGTTGTAAGCAGATCCTGCAAATGCTGCCTGTGCATCCTGTTTAATGACTTCCTTACCAAAAATAACAGGTGACTTTGCAGTTCGTAAGGTATCGTCAGCAGAGCCGAGGACGAGGCGGTGCCGGCGCCCTGGGAACAAACCCTTGCTCACGAGTGGGAGAGCCCGGAGGGCCTCGTTGTCACCCAAGTGTATTTGTGGATTACTTCAACAAACAGCTAAGTTTGCTCTTCCTTACAGGCCAATCTTATTCCTTCTGTTACTTATTTTGTTATTACTTATTCATAGTTGATATGAAGATAATAGATTTCATGTTTACTGTGCGCTATCAGAATGATAGTCTTTTGGGGTTGTTTTTTCTTTCCTGTTTTCCCTATTTTAGCCCTATCTCTATTTTGCATTATGGGACCACTGCAAATGAGTGGTCTAGAAGTATTGGATGTCTTGGTACAGTGTATATCATGAAATGATTATCTTTAAATGAACTTGTTAACAGTAACCTGGAGTTTTAAAAACGGTGGATGCAGTTAGCCATGTGCCTTGAACCCAAACTGTAGTTAACTACTGCTCAATCCATGAGCAGTGAATGTAAGTTTGAGGCACTTTTATTCTCGTTGCTTTGTATAAATCAGAAGAAAAAAACAAGTTTTAATTAAATCATTTAAGTTCAAAGGATCAGCCATCAACATGAAAGGCTAATTCCAACATAAGTTGGCAGGAGCATCGTGTGTAGCTCAATGCAGACATGCATTTTATTTTTAAGAGTTAATTAAAGCATTTATACATCAATGCTGGTGTATTACTGTACATCATCATGTACTGTATATAAACTTTACATGTGACATTCATTTCCTTACAAGCTCTGGGTTTATATAAGTCCAAGAAGGAAAACATTAGAAGCTAGAGACTGTACCTTGCAATTGCCTATTGACTCTTTGTTTTTTTTCCCCAATACTCTGTTTTACCTGAAGAAATTTTCAATAAAATTTAACTCAGAGTGTAATGATTAATTTGTTCTTCAGCAGATCAGTTGGTGAACAAAATTGTTGCCTTTTCCAAGGGTAAGTATGAGTGTTTTATCCATTTCAGGGCTGATCTTGAAACTCCTTCCCTTTGTGCAATTTCAGATCACTGTAAGTGACCTGATTAAAAAAAAAATCGAATTGCTGAGTTCTTGGGTGAAGCTTTTATCAGTTGCACTCATTAGTTTTTTGTTAAGACCTAAGTTACTGCTAGAAGTGCACATGGAACAAAATGAAAACTTTATTGTGGCTTTCTATGGAAGTTTAAATACTACTGATACAAAACCATATGAGATGAGGGTTTCGTGGAGGGATAATGTCACCCTGCTAGTGGATATGGAAACCTAAACTAATTACTAATTACTATGGCAGTAAATTAGAGAAATAACCAGATTCTGTGATGTTACTGGAAGGGCTTTCACTCACACGGAGCAGGGATTGGGATGTTTGACAGTGATTTGTTCACGCTGAGCATGGCCCGGGACGTCCCCCGTTCTGAACACGTGCAGTCCTGTAGAAATCCCGGGCTTAGCTGCAGCCAGCCAGCTCAAAATGCTGCGTGGAGGTGCGTGGTCTGTGCTCTTGCTTCAGCCTGGGCTGCACTAAGTTAAGTACAAAGCATTTTCTCAGTCGTATTGCGAAAAGCCAAGTACTTTTGAAGTGTTTTGCAGTTCTGCACAATGTGTCCTCGCTAAGCTTTTATGTGAGATCTTCCCAAATGAAGTCAGTTACTTCATTAGTCTCAGTGTTTGCTTAGAATAAACATGTATTTTCTGTTTTCTTAAATAGAAGGTTTTAGAAGTTAACCTTTTAGTGTATAAATTAAAATGCTCTTTGTCTCACTTGCAGATTTATACACTGTACACCCGCGATTATCAAACTTGCCTGGGTAGTGATTGAAAGCCTGACTTGTTACTTTTTAATGCAGTTGCAATTTGTTATTATGCCATTTTTTCAAAGATTATTTCCCCTTTCATTGCTGTATGTAATCCTATTCTGCATTGTTTTTTAATCCCAGTTTTATATTACTATAGCATATTAAAACAGCTAAATACAGAGTATGTAAAGTTACTGTGATTTAATTTAAGAATTTTAAGGGAAAATAATGTGTTCTGCATTTAGTATATAGGTTAAATGAGTACTTAAAATTGACTTCCAAGTAACCATTTGATTAAAAGAACTGCCCAAATACATACAATTATCAATGCTGTTGCTGTTGTGTATTAAGAAGTAAGGATTCTTTGTCATCACTCTTCTCTGCACATAATTATTTTCTCCCAGCCAGACTGTGCTCTGCCAAAAGAAATAGTTAGCACTTTGCCAGAATATACCAAGTTAGAGACTAAAGGACAGATCCTGATTACCTCTTTGTTAGCTTAAGACAGGAAAATAAGGCATGTAGCTATTTTGTTGAAAAGCAAAGTGTCTTAATCTTCTTGCTTTATGTTACTAATTCTTCCCCCCGTGCTGCATGTAATCCAAGATTAACAGCATTGTTTTCTAATTTTTTTAACTGTCATGAAAATCTCATTAACTAAAGGAAATATTGAAAATGTCTTCAGGGCTCTCTTCATATTTAAACAAATTGACCAAAAGACTTAACCTAAGTCCAGAGAAACTTCCAGAGTTCAAAGGAAATTATTACCAGAGTGGAGTTATTCGTTGTCATTACATTTTGGGTTTGATCACTTGTTTCTGAATGAAAAAATAAGTACTTAATTATCTACTTCTGACTAACTCTTGAAATTGCAAGTTTGGCTGTTTTTTTCTAAATTCGTATTTTCATTCCGTTTCTGACAAACAATGTGTAACTAGCCCGAAGGAAGCAAGTTTAGTTTAGGAGCAAAACTTGCAATTGCTTTGCTGCTGCGTGATCTCGTTACCTCCTTTTTCTAATAGGCAGCTTTAAATTCTGTTGCATCTTCCAGAAGCAGCAGGGTTGTCCCGCAAGGCTTCTCCTTCTGTGCTGTCCGGAGGGGTTTTGCCTGTGGCTGCGCCCGATGTACAGGAATGTACAGCCTAAAACCCAGCACTATCTCCACGTGTGAGAAGCAGAAGCAGCTATGACTAAAACCGTGTAAGGTCCCTACTTTATCTGCAGGAAGAATCAGAAGTGAGACTATCTGATGGTGGGCGACAGCTTTGTGGTATTAATTACTCCATCAAGGTTTGCTTGTTTCTCTGTTTTGTTTTTAAAGCACGTTTTTCACTGACAGCTGAATCCAGGGCATGATAGACAAATAAGCACTGGCCTGTGGTGCTTTTGGAGGGTAACAATTCTGTTACCCAAACAGTTCTGTTTCACCATATTTTCCCTGATCTCCTAGTGGCAGGGAGCTGGGAAATTACTGTTGCCCACGTGAAGGAGGACGCTTATGTGGCTAAGGAGCGTGGTTATGGCCTGCGAGCATCCTGTGGTGAACTCTGCTGCATTCCCACCCATGGAAATGCTTGTGGGATCTGGTGAAGAGCTACCTGCGTGGGGAGGATTCACCTGCCGGAAAGGAGCAGGGATGAAACCCTGTCCTACTGCTGTCCTTCCTATGCTGCCTGCCCCAAATCAAGAATCCGGATGTTTCCTTCCAACAGGAGCTCACGATGACTGGTCATGTCCTTCCTGGAGCACAATTTGCCTTCCGGAGCTGATGAACTTTGAGCAGGATCTGCGGTTTCTGGCCACATCACTAATCGATATATTTGGATGAGCCAAGACCTGCATTGCATCTGGCCCTGCAGCCTGTCCATTCTTCCCTCGGCTTGGAAAAGGCGAGCGGCTTTTGTGGGAGCCTTCCCGCAGCGCCGGCGGCCAGGGAGCCCCTTCAGAATGCGAGTGCCTCTCAGGATCAGCGGCTGGAATCAGAGGGCTTGCTCGGGAAGCGGTGCCCTCCCGACAATAGCCCCGCGAGCCGGGCCGCGCTGTAATTGGGAAGTGCGGGGTGTGCTGCTCGCTAATGATTTCGTGGACCGAGTTGTCAGGCCGTCCATTAATTTTCCTGGACCACAAAATATTGACAAATGTTACAGTAAACTTGTGCTCCCTGCTGCTTTTATTGTCTGTGTTTCTGTGTAAACACAAAAATAGCTGTCACCGAGCGTGACGGCTCGGCTCCAGGAGCAGGGCCGTGCGGGAGGCGTTTGCAGGCGCAATTCCTGGGACTGAGCAGAATCCATTACCTGAAAGTGCCTCCAAGCGGAGGGGCCTCATTACTGGGAAAATGACTCTTGCACTTTCTCCTTTGAATTCTGGCTCATGAGCATTTCCAGCCAATTCTTCTGACATTCAAAGGATTAATAGGCCCCTGTACTACTAGGAAAGGTAAATCGAACCAGGTCTGTTTTGCTGTTTAAAGAAATTTTAATAGTGGTAGGGACTATTCATGAATATTAATAGCTTGTAGTACTTTAGCATCCATCCATGTGGTTGCTTTCTAGATGCTGCTGGAAATATATAGTATGCAGGCCTGGCATTGATTGATACAGCGCTGAGGTGGTCGCTCTAATGTGCTCCACACTGCTTTTAAATGATGGCTGCGGAGCAAGTAAGATCACTTTAATCCAACTAAATAATAATCCTAATGATAAAGCATTAAAATCAGGTTGATTTTTAGACCCTACCAATTGTATCAGACAGGAAGATTGCATTAAACATAGCACTGACGTTTAGTGATATGTTGCTGATACTCATTATAATAGATTAAATGAGAAATAAGGAGCCCTGGTTGACTTTAGCACAAGTGCTAATTTGACTTTATAACAGTTCAGGCTCTCTGAAGTTCTGCACCGCTCCTTAGAGATTTAGATATGTATTGTATCCTGTTGATGAGGATCATACGCCTAAAAAATTAGCTCTTTTTGTCTTTCAAATGCCTGTTTAGGGGAAAGGCCACAGATTTCAGGACAAGAAAGGAGCTTTGTGTTTGCCTGGCGGGTTAATGGGCTGCAATATTTCACCTGGCTGTTCCTGCCGGGAGTGTTTGGCCAAGTTATTCCCCCCAGAGTTCCTGAAGGACAGCAGCAGCCAGGGGAGAGTTGGTCTTTATAGATACGCCAGCAGGGAGTGCCCATCTCTGTGCAGTGACCCTTTATTTCTCAGCGCCTTCAGCTACTCTTTTTGCACTTTTTCAGCAGTAGCCTGAGCACCCCCCTACATGCTGAGGAGGTGCTGTAAACCCTTCCTGAGGAGGTAAGTGGCCTGTAAGTGGAAAGACTCCTTCTTTCTGATGAAGTTAAATGTACAGAGCTGCCGAAACCACGACTGCAACATGAGCAGCCCCTCAACGTTGGAGATGTAGCCCGGCTAGACCCAAGGTGGTCCTAAACCTGCCAGCAGAGCGAGAGGCATCTCGGGTGCCCTGGCCTCTCCCTGGGGTGGATGTCGGGCCGTGCTGCACTGTGCCAACAGCTCTGAAACGTCGCTGGAATCTGCGGACATGGGCAGGATCGGATGCGCTTCCAGGTGCTGTTGTCCCCAACCTGGGCACCGGGCTGCAGGCAAGTCCGGGCAATGGGAGCATCAGAGCAGTGCTGAAACCAGAGCGGGAGGCGGGGAAGCGCAGTTGTCTTTAACCGTCTCCCCCAGAACAGTCTCCCAAGCACAGGAAGAAGAGTTTTCCTGAAAGCCGCCGCCGTCACCGCTGCAGCGGAACAAGGACTTTTGCAAGAGAAGTAGTAGCTGTGGGTAACGGGAGGGACCAGCAAAGGCAAAGGAAAAAGGCTAACGCTGAGGGAGAGAAGGTGGGAGGGCGCGTGTGAGGGAGAGGAGAGAATCCAGGCAAATTGATTTTTTTTTTTTTCTGTCTTTCTTTCTTTTCCCCCACAGGCAGAACTTCCTGCCCGACCTATTGGCTCTAATGCAGGAGCTTGATGCTGAAAATATTCTTTTATCAATGAGAGAATATACCTGCCGTTTGAGCAAGCAGAGAAAATGGGTGATGCAGAAAAGTGCTCAGACCTATTTGAGGAGAAATTGCTCAGTGTTCAAAATAGCTTCTTGGAAATACTCTGTCATAAGCCACTTTCTGGTACTCTTCCGGAGCAGCCTTTCAGTCTGCGCCCTCAGGTTTTTGCTGTGTTGCTGTCTGCTCGTGTTCAGGATGCTCCAGGAAGTTTGATTGTTGGTTTTCTGTTGGGATATTGAATAATCACTTGTTTGTGCCTTCAACTTCAAAGGCCTTTTAAAATTGATTACTAGTCTGGCTCTAAGTTACTGTGTGATCATGTAAATGTAGACAGAAAACGGGCGTTTTATGATGTCTGATTTTCCTACTGTATTTTTTACTAAGCAGATCTTAACGCAAAGAGTGGGTTTTCATTTCTTGCTTGCTTCTTTTCCAGCAATTGTCAGTAAATCAAAGGCACGAGAAGCTGTTTCTTCGTCTGCAGTGTTAAAGATAACGGCAGTGTGTGGTCATTTACTTTTGCAAATGGTATGGCCTTATTTCTAGGCACTCAGCACACTTGAATGCTGATGTATTGAAAAAAATGACACTTGTGGCTTTCAGAATCTTGCTTCATGTTAGAGGAGCATGCTCCCCATGTTCTCCCAGCATCTCTGTGGGCTGATGGTTTCTCCAAAAGGCATCAGGTCATGTTGCCCGAGTCCAGAAATGTGCTCAGAAGTGAAAACTTCCCTGTCATGGTGCTGCCGTCCAGGTGCTGCTGCAGTCACTCATTCCTGGCTCTTTTCCTAGGGCTCCGGCCTCTCCCAGCAGCACCCAGCAGCACATCGGAGAAGCAAGAAATGGGGATGTAGTATGAAGCAATAAAAAGCTGTTGGATTCCTGATGGGTTCGTGGGCAGAATTGCTGTCAAACTGAATGACAGACCTCACTTTTGTCAGCTAAACTACCCCCTAGTACCCAAGTGTTCTGTTTGGTTGAGCCAGAGCTTTAGTAAAAGCA